GAAGTACTAGAACAACCAAATAGGTCAAAATGGTGATAGGGATAGGAAAAGTTAAAGGATCTATGGAATACTTTGATTTCCATACGCTTTATTCTTCATATTTTCAGTACTTTGAGAATATAAAATTTAATATTAAAATATTAATTTGAACCCAATTATATATTTTTATTTTTTATTTTTATTTATTCATTTTTTTTGTCCTTTATTGTGACCGGTAAGGGGATTGCAACTCTTGGCTTGGTGTCGCCCACACTGCACTCAGCCAGTGAGCACACCGGCCATCCCTATATAGGATCTGAACCCACGGCGGGAGTGCCGCTGCGCTCTCAGTGCCGCACTCTCCCGAGTGAGCCACGGGGTCAGCCCTATTTTTATTTTTATATTTTATCAAAGTATACATTTTATATGTACATAATTGATAAGAATTGAGTTAATTAGAAGAAAAGTGCTCTACTCTGTCCAAATTACATTTTCTTCTAATACAAACAGAACCTTCCATGACCTCTCCCTTTTTTTTTTTTTTGGATGATAGGGAAGTCAGAGAGCATTAACTTATGTTTTAACAATATTTAAAATGCAAAGCCTTAAATATTTCGTCTTTAGCAAATATAAGGGATTTGCATATTGGGTAATCATTTCAGCTAGGTAATTATCTAAATACAACATCCTGTAGAGTTGATATTACCTGATAGACTTATTTCTGATTTGGGGGATTTTCTTTTATTCATGTTCTTTGTTCATATTCTCTCTTCATAAAAAGAAGGTCTAGTTTTTCAAAATTTATGCTTTGCTATTTGAATTGCAGTTTAATGAATATTTAATCAATGAATAAAGGAAGGAGACTCAGTGACGAATATTAAAGTAATTAAAATTGACAGTAAAGAGATCTGAGGACATCCTGGGAGTTGACAACCAGATAACAGCATGAGAGAAAGCATGCAGGATCATGTAGGATATTTTGGGGTTTGAAGTAAAGCCAAAGAAGTGGTGTTTATCGCTTCTGCCCACACTCGTTGGCCTGAACTCAATCCCATGGCTCTACCTAACTTCAGGGGAGAATGGGTAAAATAGTTCTGTTGTGTGCTCAGAAGGAAAATGAAAAAGATTTGAATATGAACTGTGATATCTGCTTCAGAGCCTGTTGCTGCAACCAAGAGGTGATTGCTGTCCAAGTTTCTTCTAAGGATTTAAGGTCAATAGTAATTCTGAATAATGGTCACATGGCAAATGCCATTAATGTTATTAATGATTACAATAAAAAGCTATCATTTGGGACTGGAGTATGGAATTGGGTAGTATATATAATAATATGTATATTATTAACGTTGATTAATAGTTAAAAATTAGTTGTATGAAAATATTTAAAATACTTAATATGAAGATTGGTTAAATATTTAGAACTTTTAAATAAACTATAGGTAATTGATATGCTAATAAAATACCATGTATATATTAAAATACTTGTGTTTTACTAAAGGTTTATTGTTTACACTGGGAGGAAATTGTTTTCTTTTTCATAGAAAATAATTTTGTAAATTGTCTTTACTAATTCATACTATCTTAACCATTGATTAGCTTGAAGTTGTAATTTATTACTTTGATAAAGTATTATATTTACACTAAATTTGTAACTTACCCATTGAGGAAAAGTTTATAAGTGTAACTCTATATAAACATAGATCTGAAATAAACAGGAGAATTATGAGACAATATAATCATGATTTACTCCGACATACTGTATTCTTCAGTGACTATACTCCTTTACAACTTCTGAGTCTTTTAAGTTATTACGTTAAAGGACACTTTTACCTGAAAATTGCGTGTAATATGTTTAAAATAGTATTACTAAAATATTTTAATTTTGTTTTTTTTAGGCCTATGGCATGTCAGCCTTACCTTTAAATCTGATAAAAGGCACAAGAAGCACTGCTTATGAACGTTTAGAAAACACTGAAGACATTGAAGAAGTAGAGCAACACATTAAAACGATTAAATCAAAAGTAGGTTGATGTTTTGTTGTAATTGGGAAACACAAAATTACTTCGTTTTTGAACTGCTTTCGAATGGGACTTAAACATTAACAAACCCGTTTTTTACATTGTTTGAATTTTTTGCAAGGTATTTTTTAAGAAACACATCTATATTTTTAAATTTGTCTTCTGTGTAATGTAGGGCACTGGCAATTTGAGAATTTCTATCAGTGTTCTAACAGCTAATAAACAACAGTTCTGCTTATGTATGATCAAGACCTTGCTATAGTCAGATATCCTGATTCCATGTGTAACATCATATTTTACTGTATCACTTATGTTCAAATTTTATGTACTAGTTGAATAAGTTAAGATTATATGTAAACACTTGCTACTTAAATTTATTAAAAATAAAAGTTGTTTTCCTTTATCACCTTCAAGTAACAGATAAATCTTAAAGATTGTAGGAAAAAAGGGGCAAGTTTTCAAAATTATTGTACAAAGCAATTGTGATCCTGATAAACCAAACAATAATAGCACACACAAAAGAAAACCATATACTGTCTTTCTTATGAAAATAGACACAAATTTTTTAACATAAATAAAAATATTAACAATTAAAACTATACTGTAAAAAAAATTTTCATAATTATCATGTTAGGTTTGTCTTAGAAATGCAAGGATGATACATTCGAAAGTATATTAAAGTAGTTTAACATATTGAGATTAATGAGAAATATAGACATCTTAATAGATGCCAAAGAGTATTTGGTAAAAGTCAATTCGTAATTATGATTTAAAAAAAAAAAGAAGTCTTACCAAATTAGAAGAGAAGAAAATACTGAACAAAGGAAGCCTCTAATAAGTGTCATGCTTTACAGTGAGTGAATAGAAAAATTTCCATTAAAATCATATGTACTTTGTTTCTGGGGTCTCTCTGTCTCTCTTTTCTGTTCCCTTGGTCTCTTTTTATACCACTACCATGCTGTTTTGGTTACTATAACTTTATACTATATTTTGAAGTCAAGAAGTGTGATGCCTCCAACTTTGTTCTTTTTGTTCAAGATTGCTTTGGCTATACAGGATCTTTTGTGTTTCCATACAAATTTTAAGATCATNCTTTATCACCTTCAAGTAACAGATAAATCTTAAAGATTGTAGGAAAAAAGGGGCAAGTTTTTAAAATTATTGTACAAAGCAATTGTGATCCTGATAAACCAAACAGTAATAGCACACACAAAAGAAAACCATATACTGTCTTTATGAAAATAGAAACAAATTTTTTAACATAAATAAAAATATTAACAATTAAAACTATACTGTAAAAAAAATTTTCATAATTATCATGTTAGGTTTGTCTTAGAAATGCAAGGATGATACATTCGAAAGTATATTAAAGTAGTTTAACATATTGAGATTAATGAGAAATATAGACATCTTAATAGATGCCAAAGAGTATTTGGTAAAAGTCAATTCGTAATTATGATTTAAAAAAAAAAAGAAGTCTTACCAAATTAGAAGAGAAGAAAATACTGAACAAAGGAAACCTCTAATAAGTGTCATGCTTTACAGTGAGTGAATAGAAAAATTTCCATTAAAATCATATGTACTTTGTTTCTGGGGTCTCTCTGTCTCTCTTTTCTGTTCCCTTGGTCTCTTTTTATACCAGTACCATGCTGTTTTGGTTACTATAACTTTATACTATATTTTGAAGTCAAGAAGTGTGATGCCTCCAACTTTGTTCTTTCTGTTCAAGATTGCTTTGGCTATACAGGATCTTTTGTGTTTCCATACAAATTTTAAGATCATTCTTTCTATTTCTGTGAAGAATGTCATTGGTATTTTGGTAGGGAATACATTGAATGTGTAGATTGCCTCGGGTAATTAGGACATTTTGATGATGTTAATTCTGCCAAGCCATAAACATGGAATATCTTTCCATTTATTTGTGTCCTCTTCAGTTTTTTTCACCAGTGTTTTATAGTTTTCATTGTAGAAGTCTGTCACCTCCTTTGTTAAACTTACTCCTAACATTTATAGCCAACTAATTTTCAACAAAATTGCCAGGAATATACAGTGGGGAAAGGACAGCCAGCACCTTCAACAAAGGTACCAGGAATATACAGTGGGAAAAGGACAGCCTCTTCAATAAATGGTGCTGGGAAAACTGGATATCCACATGCAGAAGACTGAAATTAGATCCCTTTCTCTTACCATACATAAAAATCAACTCAAAATGGATTAAAGACCTATATTTAAGACCCAAAACTATGAAACTACTACAACAAAGGATAGGGGTAATGCTACCTGAAATGGGAATGGTCAGCACTTTTTTGAATGAGATCATAAAGGCACAGGCAACTAAAGCAAAAGTAGACAAATGGGATTACATCAAACTATAAAGCTTCTGCACAGTGAGGGATGCTATCAACAAAGTGAAGAGAACCCACAGAAAGGGAGAAAGTATTTGCAAACTACATATCAGACAATGGCTAATATACAGAATGTACAAGGAACTCAAACAACTCAATAGCATAAAAACAAATAACCCAATTAACAAGTGGAGACCTAAATAGAAATTTTTCAACAGAAGACATACAGATGGCCAAAAAGCACATGAAACAGTTCTCAAAATCACTAATCATCAGGGAAATGCAAATTAAAATCACAATGAGATATCATCTCACCCCAGTTAGAATGGCTATTATCAGAAAGACAGAACATAATCATCAGGGAAATGCAAATTAAAATCACAATGAGATATCATCTCACCCCAGTTAGAATGGCTATTATCAGAAAGACAGAACATAACAAATGCTGGTGAGGATGTGAAGAAATCCTGCATTGCTGGTGGGAATGTAAATTGGTACAGGCATGGCAGCCATTATGGAAAACAGTTTGGAGGTTCCTCCGAGAGCTAAAAATAGATCTACCTTATGATCCAGCCTTCCCACTACTGGGTATATACCCAAAGATAATGAAATCAATATATCAAAAAGACACCTGTCCTTCCTGTTTATTGCAGCACTATTCACGATAGCCAAGAGATGGAATCAACCTAAATGCCCACCAATGGATGAATGGATTAAAAAACTATGGTATATATATATATAATGGAATACTATTCAGTTGTAAAAAGAAATGATATCCTTCATTTGCAGCATTGTGGATGGAAATGGAAACCATGTTAAATGAAGTAAGTCAGGCACAGTAAGACCACAGCGTGGTCTTACTCATATGTGGAATCTTAAAAAGAAAAAAAAGTGGTTCTCATAGAAGTAGGGAGTAGAATAATGCTTACCAGAGGCTGGGAGTGGAAGGGAGTGGTGGGAGGAGAAGGGGTGGACTAGTGGGTACAAAACTGTGCTATCTACCCTAAATGACTCGTTGTGCAGTATATGCATGTATTGAAACAACACACTGTGCCCCACAAAAATAAATATAAAATTGAAAAATAAAATAAGATGAAGATACAGGACAGTGATGTCAGTGTCATTGCTACACTTTAGCATATTTCTGGAGATTCTAGTCAGATAAGGAAGAATTTAGGCATAAACATTGGCGGGAGGGGGAAAAAGGAAAACAGTCTTTGCTATTTGTGGATATTTACCAACACAATCTACAAGAATCAACTTGACAGACTGGTAGATCTAGTAAGAGTTCATCAAGGTGCCTACATACAAACTTATAAAAAATCGTTAGCCTATTGGAGGATGTAATAGAAAATGATCCCAGTCTCAATAGCCACAAATTATAAAATAATAAAAAAATGTCAAGGTCTTCTTAATGGAAATTATAAAATTTGCTGAAATACATAATAGAAAATTCAGATAAATGGAGAACTCCATCAGTTCCTAATTGGGAAGATTCAATATTGTAGAGATGATAGGTTTTCACAACTAAGGTGTAAATTGAATACAATCTGTAAAAGACAAAAAGTGAAATTTGCATAAAACCTCATACCGTTTAAAAGTGTTTTCTGTATTCAAGTTAGGAGGACGATATAAAATTTATAAAACATTAGCCAAAAGTAAGTAAAATTTTATCTTGGTGTGGAGAAGACCTTTCTAAAACAAGCCACAAAACCCAGGTGCTAATTAAAAGAAGACTGGTGAGTTTTAAATTTTTATGTTTGAAATTTATGTACTGAAAAAGGGCACTAAAAAGAAAATGAAAAACCAACAATAATGTGGGACAAAATCTGTAATACAGGTGATATATAAAGAGCATCTTCAAGTCAATAAGAAGAACAAGCAACACGGAAATAATGAACAAAGGATCCAATAGGTAATTCACTGAAGGAGGAATAAAACTGTTTAGTAAAAATATGAAATGATGCTTCAGCTAATGAGCAATCAGTATGTTGACCAAGCATCCCACTTTACCTGAGACCTGAGTTTTCCAGAACATGGGACTTTTCAGTGCTGAAACCAGGAAAGTTGGTAAATCTAGTAATCAGAGATGTGAAAATTAGAACAAGTCTATATATATATACATATATATATATATATACACATATATATATATATATATACACATATATATATATATATATATATATATTTTATCCTTTGGAAATCTTTTAAATTTTTACCTGTGTCAGGTGTTGATAAGAATTTGGGGATAGGTATATTGTTTGTGGGAATATAAGATATACAACTTAAAAAAAAAATTGGATGTGGTGACATGTGCCTGTACACACACACACCTTTTAATAATTAAAGGTTAATCCAACAATTCATCTCTAGGAAATCCATCCTACTGAATTATATGTACACATTTGACCCAGATGTATAATGATGTTTATGGAATATTGTTAATGGCATTCACCAAAAGTAAAAAGAAAAGGAAACAATCTAAATCTTCAAAAAAAAAAAGGTATTTGTTAAAGTAAGATGCCATGGTATATAATGTTCTGTGCAATGATGAAAAATAATGAGATAGATTTATGTATTTTGAAGAATATGTTTTGTAGAATCAGATTATGTCAGTTCAAATTTTGGCTCTCCTGATTATGCAGGTAACATCTGTGGGTGTTATTTTTCTCATCTAATAAATGAATATAATACTATTGCCTACCTCTGAAGGTTATTGTGAAGATTTAAGGAGAATAAATGTAAAAAAGGAGACCTGTTTTAGGTACAAGAAAGGTACTTAAGAAATTTTAGCTATTATGTACAACAAAAAGTAAATATATTTGCATGTATGTGTATGTAAGTACATAGATCATGTGTAGAAGGATGTTGGTGTGCTTAACAGTGATAATTATACGAAAGGGGAGTGGTGATAAGAGAGTAGGAAGGGAACACATTTTACTTTTTGTTAACAAGGGTATGTACTTACATACTTTATAACTACATTTTTTTTTCCCGAATGAGACAGATGGTTGGCTACTGAGTTTCCATCCTAGTATTTATTTCTCTGACCAAAAATCTTATATTGATTTAGTCATTTGGCAGTGCAGAGTAGATATCTATCCCTCATTCTCTGAAGCATTCACCAAATAGGCAGATAACTTGGATTTAAGTGGACCCTTATATAAGATTCCTAAATATTTTTTTCTGAAAAAAATTCCCATTTCTGGGATCAAGTTTGATAATAGCCAGTGTACTTAAAGAAATCAAGATAATTATAATCCAGTGTTTGTAAAGTGTGGTCTTTACATTACTAGCATTAACGTCTCCTGGGAATTTGGTAAAAAGGCAAATTCTAGGCCAGATCTCAAGATCTACTAGATCATATTCTCTGGGGGTAGGGCCTAGAAATTTGTGTTTAACAAACTTTTCAGGTGATTGTTATGCATGATAAAGTTTGAGAAGCAACAGGTAAGGTATGGAAGAGGTTGGTTGGTTCCAGAAGAGCATGATGGTGCAAATATGTAAAGAGATTATTATGACTGTGTAGATCTCTTTATTAAAGTGTATTTAGTTTATCTTCATTTTATCTGTTATTTCAAATTGATGCTACATTAGAATATGCTGGAGAACAATATGTTGCTTATCTGCTAAGAACCTATTTAAAACTTAATAGGAATATTAAAGGCATTTTAATATCTAATGTCTTCGCATTTTTTTAAATGTAATCCCATGTAAATGTTTTTCTTGTTCTTTCCTATACAAAAAACAAATTTACATTTACGTTTTTTGTATTTAGCAGTTGTCTCATTGTAGTGTATTATTGTACCTAATTGAAGATACTTAGGGGCAGGGGAGTTCAAGTGGGAAAATGTGTCTGTGAGATAGCATGAGAAAGGTAGTGCTAATGGTTACAGGAAGCATCATGTAAAAATAGATGGAGATTATCTGTTTGACAGGTTAGCCAAAGAAAGCATGACTTATTTGTAAAGGTACTTGCAGAATAAGGAAGTGCCAATTCTTAGCAATTATGCAAACGTTTACGTGTCACTTAAACTTGTGTTGTATCTGCTGAGAATTACTAGTTCAGGGAATACAACCACTTGACTGAAGGGAGGGAAGGGGCAGAGCCAAATATATTAAAATAAGAGATAGAAGGAGTTTGGAGGGGAGGGGGAATAATTGAATAAAGTACACGGTAGTTAAACTTCTTACAAACACCTTTCTTGTGTGTTTTTACAGCTAGTTATCTCTGTCCACATAACTTTACTATATATTTGGAAAACAAGGATCAAGAGGGAGGTCAGTATTAAATGTATACACATCCACATTTTGATGCTGACCTTGGTTCAGTGATGTTTAATGTTACATCTCAGTTTCAGTTTTTTTTCAGTTTGTAAATTTGCCTAAGGATGTCCGAACTTAAGTTTTCTTGCCTGATCTACTAAATCTGGTGGGTACTTATTAAGCTTAATGGTAAAAAACTTGTTTTGTTTTGTTACTTGCAGAACAAAGATGGTCGACCTTTGCCAGCGAGGGACAAGCGTGCCTTAAAACAATTTGAAGAAAGATTACGAACACTTAGGAAAAGAGAGAGGCACTTAGAATTCATTGAAAACAGCTGGTGGACAAAATTTTGTGGTGCTCTGCGTCCCCTGAAGGTAAATGCTGTTTTAGAAAATTATGCTATCACTGTTCTCCCAAATTTATGTAGTACATTTAAAAGAGATTGTGTTTGAGTCATTATAGCATGGTACTTTAAGAGCATAGATTTTGGAGTTTAAGTAATCAGGTTTTGAATCACATGTCTCTTGTTTGGTAGTTTGGGCAAGGTGCATAACCTCTCTGAGTTTCATTTACTCATGTGTAATGTATTATAAAAGAGTTGGAAATTTAAATATGTAATGTAAATGTAAAAATACAGATATGTAATGTAATATGTTGCTAGCGTATTTTGCACGTTTGTTCTTTTTTGTAAATAGGTGATTGGGACACTGAAAGTAATAGAATTTGCCTCGTTGTTAGATGATGCTTTTGAAAGTATGTAGAAAGATATTATTTGAAATGGAAAACTATTATTTTCTTATTTTGGAAACCATCTTTTGCCAGCCTTGAATTTTTGGGGCTGTGGGTACCTAAACATAAGTACCTAGATTGAATTAAGGCCATTATAATATGACTCAGACTAAAAAGCAACTAAAACTGCTGGTCACAGAATTCTAAATATAACAGAGAACATTATAAACACCAGAGCTTTGTGTACAATAGTATGCAAGTTGTAATTCATAAAGATTTGAAGTGAAATTAGGCAAGACGAAGCTAGAAAGTGGGTTTTGGCTAAATTTTTAAAAAATGTTTAGAGAACCCCATTAAAGATGAGTCATCCAGGTTGAATTCTGGCACTGCTTTGTCTACTTCTTATAATTAGAAAAAAAAAAAAAGTACACTAACTGCTCACCCCCCAAAAGCTCCTCTTTTGAAACAGTTTTTCAAAAATATAACATGATGAGTTATTTCTTCTATATGATCACTTTTTTAACCTTCTGTTAGAATAAATTTTTTAAAGACTCCACCACAGTCTTTTTTCCCAAGATGATTTGTCTTTATAGTACCAAAAGTATGATGAAACCCTCTCCAACCCTTATTTTAATCCTAAATTGTTATAGCTTCATATAAGTGTTCATAACCTGGTCTGTAACATCAGCTGTCTTCTTTTAAACATACTGTGCTTCATTTCACTGAACATATGTTTAGAAGGATTTTAAAATCAGTTTTATTAAGTGTACAGATTGATTTTGCCAAATATGCATATGTAGATATGTAGAACAACAACATTGCCCCCCAAATCTACCTTGTGTCCTCCACTGTTCCCTTGAGCTCAAACCCAAGGTAACCACTGATGTCCTTTTTGTTATGAGAGGTTATTATTATGTGTTATAGAATTTCATATAAATGGAATCAAAATGTATAATCTTTTTGTTTGTTCTTTGGCAGCTGGCTGGTAAGAGGACCCAAACTCTTGACCTTGGTGTTATAAGGCAATGTTTATTTTATTTTCCATATAGGTATCCAGTTGTTCCAGCACCATTTTTTGTCAAGACTATCCTTTGCTCAGTGAATTTCCTTGGCAACTTTGTCAAATCAATTGATTATATGTGTGTATGTCTATTTCTGGACTGTCTTCTGCTCCATTTATATATGCCCTTATACTGATACTTAATTACTAGAGGTTTATAATCAGTCATGAAGTCAGGTAGAATAAGTCCGTTAGTTTTATTTTCCTTTTTCAAAGTCATTTTGGTTATGCTAGATCCTTTGCATTTCCATATAAATTTTAAGACCAACTCATAATTCCACAAAATACACACTCAGGTATCTATTGGGATTACTTTGAATCTACAGGTTAATTTGGAGAGAATTGATATCTTAACAATATTGAATTTTCCAATCCATGAATTCATGTTTTGTATTGTTCAATGTAGAGGTCTTACAAACATCTTGATAAACTTATCTCTGTTTCTTTTTTATGCTCTTGCCAATTATGTTTAATTTCTATTTTCAATATTTATTGCTAGTATGTAATTTTTTTTTTAACATTGACCTTGTATCCTGCAACCCGGTTAGATTATTTCTAGTATCTTTATTGTAGATTCCTTAGGAATTTTTACATACAAGACTATGTCAGCTGCTAAAAGATAGTTTTACATGTTCCTTTAAAATAAGAGATTTCCAATTGCTTTTATTTTTTCCTTTCCTTATTTCATTGTCTGAAACCTACAGTCCAATCAGTTTACCATTTATTCCTTTTGTTATATAAATGTGCCTTTCCTGAATATTGATCTAAATTTTTATCTATCTTTCTAATGTTTGGTCCTATGTTAGGAATAGGGTAATAGGCATTTTTTTAATTTTTATTTATTAAGAGTATTCATGAGATACAATGCTAATTGTCACTCTGAAGGAAATCTCTGGGATACAAACTGATTATTATGTAATTGAAGATTTAACATGTATGTGAAGAAATAAATACTGCTTTTTTCCTTAAATGAGATATAAAAGTTATTTATTATTCATTATTTCTGCATTTGTCTGCAGTTGATATAATTTAGAAATAGGAAGTCACATGTTTGTTTAGTGCCTCTTAAACGTTATCATCCAAGTCAATTTAGCAAAAGAAGATTAAGATAGGTCTCACCCCTTCTGTACTGCTCATTACATGCTGAAGTTGACTGAAGACCTTTGAGAAATTCCTGATACAAAATTTCTTTGAAAGTTATGTTGTATCTCAAAATTTTGTGCTAGTGTTACCTTCTACTCAGTGCTATAATCCATGTTTGTTTTATTATAAAATATATTAAATTTACATTTTTACAAGTGCAAAAGTTCAAAGTTATTTCCTGCAAGTGTTTTTTCCCTAAGAGTAGAGGGTTTTTCCCCCATAAAGATGCCTATTGATCTTGTGATTTCGTGTTGCATGCATTCCCTAGGATATTCATGCACATCGCTTTAGAAGCATGATGGTTCAGAGCATGGGCTTTGCAGTCCACATACCCAGGTTTGAGTTCTTACTCTGCTCCTCACCAACTATATAACCTCTTGTTACTTCAGCTTTCTGAAACTCAGTTTTATCGTCCTAAAAATGGAGTTATATACTTATTTTTATTATGGAAATTAAATGAAATAATGGAGGAAGTATGGTGCCTTTTGATTTAAACAGCTCAGGAAATTGCAGGTGCTATTGTTTATAGTTCTCTATATAGGATTTTTCAACTTCTTAAGTACTATCATAGAACTCAAGGGAGAAGATTAGCTTTGTGTTAAAGACAATTATAAAAATAAGCATCTAAGTAGAATAAGTTAATGGCTCTTTAAATCAGCATTTGTGTTTAATACCGCATTTCTAAGCACACAGTCTAATGTTTATTAAATATTTGAATAAAGTCTCCCCTGACAGAAGAGAATACTTTGAGCTTGTAAACTAATTGGCCTGGGTAATCTATAGATCCATTAGGTTTTAAATATAAACCTATATTTTATGTTTTACTGAAATTTTATCATATATACACTTGTGTTTATATAGAAAGTTTTAAATTCACATTCATAATTATATTCCATATATTTTTCAGACTTTTTATTGTGGTAAAATATATATGCCATAAAATTTACCACTTTATCTGTTTTTAGGTATACATTCCATGACATTAAGTACATTTACAGTGTTGTGCAACCACTATCCATTTCCCCATCTTTTTGTCATCCCAAACAGATGCACCATACCCATTAAACAATAATTCCCCATCTCCTGGTGACCTTAGTTCTACTTCCTGTCTCTTGGAATTTGCCTATTCTGGGTATCTAGAACAAAGAATACAAATCACCTTGAGAATCTTTGCAACTTGGAAAATATTTTGTAACTAGAGCTGAATATTTTTGATGTTTTAACATTTTAAAAACTTTATGAACTAGGGCACTTGTAACATGTAAAGAAACATAATTCTGCCCACAGAATTATAATTCCTATCATAATGATTATAATGAAAACCATGAGTCTTACCCTTTTATCTATGAGAAAACCTTGAAGACTAATCAATTTACTACTTAATTTGAGTTAGGGCCTAGAAACCACAACTGCTCACAATGAAGAACCTAGAACCGGACCTGGAATGTCAGATGGCCTCTGAAGAGACGAAAGTTTAGTTTGGGTTAAAACTTAAATCCAGTTATCCATTTCTAAATTCTCTTTTCAAACTCTTGACATGAATTGAGTTGGCATCTTTTTGTTGTAGTCATCTAATATTCTAAATGACTTTTCTAAGGAAGTGTTCCTTGAATTTTAACGTGCATAAAAATCACCTGGGAATCTTGTTAAAATACAAATTATGATTTAGTCATCCTAAGGTGTCGGGTCCGCCGCCAGCCGACCTGTACAGCCCTAGCCTCGTTCCTTTCGGTGGGTGAGCAAACGGCCCGGGATTCCTCTTTCCCTCCTGTCCCCTTTGGAAGGAGATGGGGAAAGAGAGCCGTGAAGAGAGGTGAGCACACCGCCGGCCCCCCAAACAGCCCAATTAAAGGACACTCAGAGGCAGTGGGGGTTCTGTCAAAGCAGTTCCGTTTATTAGCACACAAGCACTTGCTTTTAAAGGCAAATGGGAAAGGCAGGTTTTTTACCTATCACCCCCTCCCCAAATTTCTCTAGGGTTTGGTCATCACTGCTGAATTTCAGCTGTGTGAAGCAGGGGACAGTTCTCTGCTTTCTCAGCCACCCACAGCGATGACGCCTCTGCTCCACATGCCCCACACCTGAAGCTCTGGGGAGTCAGAACACTTGTTCTGACTCACCCAACATCCCTCTGCCCTTGAGGTCTCCTGGGGTATAGGGCTTGAACTTCCACTGAGTTTCTGCTGTAACATTCCTTTCCTAAGGCAACTGATGCTGCAAATTCTAGATACCCAAATTACTCGTTAATACTACAAAATATCATCCTGCCACAATTTCTGTTCCCTTTTACTCTGAAAGCATCCTTACTGATACATCCAAGAACAATGCTGATCTGAGCTTCTCCCAGTGCTGGGGTCACCGGTATACAGCCTGAGGCCACACTCACCTATCCTATCACCTTCCTTAACATTCTTCTTTTTTGCTTACTCTGCTCCTGGAATA